CAATGTAGCCAGATGGGGCGACGGATTTGATCAAGCCAGATCATACGACCATCCTGCTTGGGTTTATGGTTCATATCATTGGACATTTGATCATCGTAGTTAGGGTCAAGCAAAAAGATGGGAATGCGACGATTATCTTGTTGGCGTGACCACCGGTGATTTCTGGAAGATTTACGTTCGCTTAAATGTTTGTGTGTTGACGTCTGTTTTATTGTTAGTCTTTATTGGCTGTAGACGTTTAAAAAGTACTAGTAGTAAAATGATGGCATGGTACAAATAACCCATTGTTAACTTAGATGAAAATACCTTGATTTTCAAGCCATTTATAAAATATTAAAAAAAGTTATAACTTTTAGAAGAGATTTTTCTTATATTCGTCATTTAAAATAAGCTTTATATCAGTTTTCGTATATTGCATTTAGTTTTCAAGTATCACTGAGCTTTGAATAAAGCCACAAAAAGTTCTTGCCACTTAATCATTGTGCCGTTTGCTTTCATTTGTGTCGCATGCACCAAAGTCACTAAATATTAAATTATCCTAGAAAATCCAACTATAGAGCTTATTTATAAGCAAGCAAACTGAGGCCCACTTAAGCAGTCTAAACCCCGGGGGATACTCTCTGCAATGGCGGGAGGCACTGCTAGAAAGGGGTACCTTTGTCAGGTGTCAGGTATATGAAATGGTGGGATTTCACTAGTTGAAGTATAAGAAAGGGCAGGGAAATCTGTCTGTAAAAGACCTAAAGTTGCCAGAAGAATTTATGGCTGTGCCGAGAATATTTCCTGGTTTTGTGATTTATTTACATTTTAAAGACAGTGCATTTTTAAGAGTTAAAAGGGATGCAACGTTCTCAATTAGGTATAAGAAAGGGATCCTTTTTTAATGGAAGATATACGGATATATCAAAGCTGAAGTGTTGAGTGATCAATTTGCTACAGTTTTCACAAATGAAGATCCACTGAGTTAACACCCCAAGTAAGGGCCCTAGTATGATCGCAGAGCCACCCTCCTCTGAAGTTTGAAGTTTCAGGCATAACACGCTTGTTAAGAAACATTAACGCCAAAAATGCCTGTGGTCCCGACAATATTTCTCTTGCTGGGTTCTGAAAGAAGTTGCGCCTGTCATTGCTCCATTTCTCCAGTATAGTTTTACTCTATCAATACAAAACAGGTCAAGTCCCAAGTGACTGGGTCACTGCAAATGTCTCCCCAGTTGACAAAAAAAGGAATCGCAAAAAGCCGTGTAATTACAGAACGATCTCTCTGACATCTGTATCTTGTAAGATTGAGGAACATATTATATACCGGCACATCATGAATCACCTTGATTCAAATTCTAGTCCGGTACATTATCAACATGGCTTCAGACAACGGCACTCTTATGAAATGCAACTGATCACAATTATTGAATCAGTAGCAGGTAACCTTGACCTTGGCCAATAAAGTGATTTGTTCTTACTCGACTTTTCAAAGGCATTCGACACGGTGCCCCATCGCCGATTGTTGAATAAATTAAATTTCTTCGTTGAAATCTCAAGACCTGGTTCGAACAATGGCTATAACCACCTGATATTAAATATTCCCGTGAGATCAGGTATGCCCCAGGGGACTGTGTTGGGCCCATTCATATTCCAGACCTTTTGTACATAAACGATATCGGCGAAAACACAAAAGTCCAAATTGGCCTTTTCGCGGACGACGCGGTATTTTACTTTGGTGTAATCAAAGATTGTAATGATGCAGAGTCACTACAGCAAGACCTAAACAGACTTGTACACTGAGCGGACACATAGCAGCTCTCGTTTAATGCAAAGAAATGCACCACCCTAAGAGTCTCGTGCTCAAAAACTAACTCTAGTTAAATACCAATACACCATCCACGGAGAACCCTTGGAAGCTGTTGATCACTATAAATACCTTGGAGTTGAGCTATCCAGTGATCTAAACTGGGATTTTCATATTGCTGGAATTATAGGCACAGCCAACAGATCTCTTGGCTTTATAAGAAGAAGCCTAAATAAGTTCCCAGAAAACGTAAAAGAGCAAGCCTATCTTGCTTTAGTTAGACCACAGCTTGAATATGGATGTTTCGCATAGGACCCGCACAGTCAAAAGCAGATAAAGGACACTGAGAGTATAGCATCACTCCTGGAACTGTCACAAAACTTCTGACTGATATGAAATGGCCAACACTCGAGAAAAGAAGGAAAGTTGCACGACTCACAATGATGTTTAAAGTGGTCTCTGGTCATCAGCTATACTGATTTCCACCCTGTATACGATTTAAAAGACGTCAGGGCACTAGGCAATTCCATCCTAAGAAATTCTTTCAAGTTAATGCCAAAACAAACAAATATAGCAACGCAGTTTTATTGCACGTACAATCAGACACTGGAAATCTTTACAAAGTTGTCTCATTAAAAAGCAGTCAGTGGAGGCTTTCAAAACGGCCGTCATGAGCCATCTTTAAAAACGCTAACCCGGAACTTTTTATTATTACTATCTTTATTCACTCGACATTCGCACCTTGATTATATCTTAAAACAAGCACCTGTACAAATTACACATCCGCCGTGATGGGAAATTCCCTTCGCAGATAACACGATAAGAATTAGAATCAGAATAACGGAAGGGCTACCTGCCAAATTTCATGCTTTTAACAGAAAGTGAACAATTGAAGCACATATCTGCTCCGCTTTGTCAAAATTATATTTAAGAGGGTAAGGGGTTGGACCTTGGGGCGGTACCTCCCCGTACAAAACTTTGTTGAGTACCCCCCGATCCAAACTGAACGGATTAAGTTCATGTTAACTTTGTCTTCTGTCGCAGTCAAGTTTGTTTGAATGAGTTGGCATCGACTACAACCAAGGCCAAACGCCGAACTTTTCATGAGACGAACCAAACTGAGTGATTTAAGTTAATGATAAGTTCGACGTTTGTCTCAGTTTAGCTACTCAAAATATTAAAGTTTGCTGGATCGCCAAACAAGTTCTTCTAGTCCGCTAAAGATCGGTTTTCGGGGACAAACATGGTAGACATCAGGTGAACGTGCCAATAAAGTGTTTGTATTATCTGGGCCCGGGGGGTACTCCCCTATGTATCTATGTGCTGCCCCAAAGGGTTTTTCCGCCGTTTTGGTCTGAAGACGGGTGTAGACTTTGCCCATTTTGGTCTGGAATCGGGTATGGTTTTCGAGGGAACTACGGGAGTGTACGAACGTATTTATTGTTTCAGTCCCAAATGAGTAAGAAAGAAAAAGAAATATGCCAATTCGAATGGGTTTTAAGAAATTTTTTTTGTTGCTGTTGTAATCTAAGTAATGATGACATCATTTCTTAAAAACCAGGTCTCAAAACAGGTGTGAAAAATAACATTTTTTGGTCTGAAATAGGGTCAGCATTTGGAGAACCGGGCGGCACACCCCCATCAAGAATTCCCAGAAATGCCCCCTCGGGTATCTGGGTTTCCGTAAAATGCTGTTTATTCATTAAAAATTAATATATTGAGCTGTTTGTTGGAACAAAGAGAATCGTCTGTTATTAAAGGGTTCTTGCAAAGCAGGCTTCCAACAACGACTTTAAAATGTTTCACGCCCTTTCTTACTTTTCAACTTAGTTCGACTCTTACACAAGTTCGACGTTGGTGACCCAGTAGTCGAACTCAACTGAAGTAAGGTCGACCCAAATAGTAATTTGACTCGTCCCATAAAAACTCCCCCCACCCCCTCCCCCCCTCCGCCTAAATTGCAAACCCAAGCGGCCCGAATACTTAGTTTCCGAGCCAATATCCAGAAGAGACAACATATTCGGTCTTTCTTCCCCTTTAACTCGGTTAGGGTCGCTTTTTTAAAGTCTCTAAGACAAGTTGTTTGTGCTCTCTGTACCCGTTGGGGGTCTGATAGTTTCCATCCAAATTTACATTTTTCTTTTCGGTCTCCGCGACTTTTTTGCGATTTGTTTCGCAACCTTTATCTATTATTTTGACGCACTTAATAAGGTCCGAAGTCTCTCCGCCCTATCCCTTCCTCCGAACCTAACCTAATAGCAAGCCAACAAAACTGCTTTGCAAAATTCACCGACGAATGAACAAAAAAAAAACAAAACAAATTACGACACAGTCCACAAAATAATAAAAAAAACACCCTTTACCCCAGTTTCAATGGAAGGTTGAAATTTAATAGTTTTCTCGTGGAGTATCACTCGGAATTCGGAGGATCAAGGGTTTAATTGAGAACGGTCGCGTTAAGTGTCGTAAAGTTCAAGTTGAACCATAAATCGAGCTTCTCCAACCTACCCTGAAATTTTTGCATCTTTTTTGTTTATTTTTTGTTTTTAAAGCTGAAAAGTTTTCGGATATGCCACCAAGATAAAACGAGACATCTTAATTATTAAATACTACATCAATACTGCACTTAGCAGATGGATCCAGGCCAAAAACTGGTTTAATCACCACTCTCTTTAATTTTACCCCTATGAATGCACAATAAATATGCCCAAGCAATAGCTCATTTATTTCCCTCAGGTTCGATTGAGTCTGACCGTAAATCATTAGTATTTCAGAAAACTGAATTATATTCAGTTTAGCAGTCACGTGTAAGGAGCCCGGCCCCGGACTCTTAAGGCCGGTAATGCTGGCGTTCTCGGGGGACGTCAGTATTATTACTAGAATTCGCATATATTATTGCTTTTCATCTTGCGGTGCTTCTTTTAAAATAGACGTTTCCTTGAACAAAAAAGTACACTTGTTTTACAGGCTTACTTGAAATTGAAGTTTAGCTCGACACTTATAAGTAAAATCTTTTTTAAGCAGTTTTATTTAGTACTTACAAAAACACTTATGAATTATAAATTGCTTTGCATGGGAGCTGTCACCGCAAAAGAGTTTTACAACTAAACAAACTAATTAAAAACGGAACAACCACTCTATAAGGCTGACACTTAATAGTCGGCACGTACAGGTAGCACAGTGAAGATCACAATCATCCAAAAATTTTCCTTCGATGGCAGCTTCACGGCTCATTCGTTTGGTTTTTCTGACTGTTAATGTTCTGATGGCAGTGGTACTGGTGATATCCAACTCGGACTTCTGTGCCAGCGTTTTTGAAACTCAAACAGGTAAATTAACTCCTGCGGCTTTGTAAAACGGTTTTCTAAAACGTTTTCTAAGATGCAAACAAACTACCGTTTTTTTTTTTGGTTTTTTTTTTCAAAGTTTAGTTTTCAGTAGACTCTTTTATTACACGTTTTAAATGGTCATTTTGATAAATCTGAGATGACAAACTTGGGCATTTTAAAAGAATTAGTTTCCTCTTATCGACTTTATCTGATGTTAAAATTGCTTACAACTTTTATCACTTTTTTTGCTTCTGACGATTCGCGCTTGTATCAAATCGCAATTTTGCAAGCGAGTATATCTCTTTATCGTAAAAGATTATAAAACTGTTCAGCTAAAAAAATGAATTAATGTATGTCCTAGCTTTATGTTAAACTCCACTGTATTTTGCTTATTCCCCTGTTTTATATTACTTCATGTTTCAGACCATGTTTTAGTTGGTCATGTCATGAGTACATCAACTGTTGCTGACGAGTTTGAATGTCACCAAAAATGTCTCAGAAATAACAGCTGCAAGTCGTTTAATGTTCATCCTGGTGTAGATATTGCAAAACGACTTTGTGAGCTCAACAACAAAACACGGAAGATGAAGCCGGACGATTTCATTAGGAAGAAAGGATCTTCTTATTATGGACAAGTTAAGGTCAGATCCACTGTTTGAACATAAACTATCGCTTTTTTATAAAACTGTTATTTAAAAAAACTCTAAACTCTAAACAACTAATTAGGGACCTTAAGATGAGACGACGGCGACGGCAACGAGAATGTCATAAAAGCAATAGGTTTTTAAAACAAGCAAGTTATTAAAATAAGAAAAACAACAAGAAAAAAACAACTTTCCTCGTGCATAACACTTTTTTGTACATTTCTTTACGTTTTGCACGACAATGACGTTAAAATGCCTAATTTCATGTTTTATAGAGGATGTCATTAAAACATTCAAGCAACGACGAGATTTTCTCTCTCTTTCTTACCTTGGGTAAGGTTCTTAGGAATTCAACTCCAGGAGAGTTCGTGTACATTCGACAAAGTAAGCGTGATGGAACAATCGCGATGACGATGGAAAACCGCGAAAACATTTTTAAGCGACGTTTTACCTGCTGTCGCCGTCCTCGCATCTTAGGGTCCCTATTAAAACATTTGTTTACCACGGTCACCCTGTTCGGTTTTTTCGGAATTTTAACAGGTAAGTATTTAATTTCTTAGACTTTTCGGCACAAATTCTACGGAGTTTTGAGATCAGCTTCTTACGAATTGCTTCATGTTATGCGAATTCAAGTGGTTATCTTTGCAGAACTCTAATATCGTAAATAGTACTTTTGGCGACATTTTCTTTTAAATAATGTTTTTGACACCGGTTTGCCTGTGTCTTAGTAACGTATATGTTTTTACCCACACGAAAAATATCGCGTATGGCAGGGTACAAGAAGAAGGTATATCAATATATTTAACAATCATCATGAGTATCATCTAAAAAATTATGGAGATCGAGGAGGGTGTTATCTGCCTCGACCAATCAGAAACAGAGAAATATTTTGAATGAATAATAATTATTTATATTACTTCTAAAGCAAACAAAAGTGGTAATAACTAAAGCACATAATGACGTCATCTATAGTTGTTATCTATTGTTTGATGTTTCTCATTTCAATTCCTTATTTCCTTCTCAGGTTTCCTGCGAAGATCTGCCCACCAACAAGAAGAAACAAACTGGTCATTGTCATCCGGACTACACAGGAAAAAGATGTGAAATTCGTGAGTAACGCTCGTCTATTTTTAAATTTGATTTTACTATTGCCTCACGGAGGAGCAAATATTTACCATATATAGTCTGTTTTATTATCTGCTGCAGCAAAGCGAGGCTGGAATTCCAAGCTGCCTGCTTATTCCTGTAAGAGCATCCGGGACTCTGGTGGCTCTAAAGGAGACGGAGGTACTGGATCGACCCTGAGAACAGTGGAAACCCGTTGAAAGTTTACTGCGACATGACAACTGACGGAGGTGAGATCTGCTCCAAAAAAATCTGAAATCGTGAGCAATTATAGCTCATTCAAACTACTTTTCCGTTTCTGGTTGAACTATATTCCCCGGCTTATTCTTTATAAACAGCTACCATTATCAAATTGAAAGGCATTTAACGTCAATTGTACAGATATCGTTCTGCGCGGGACAGCAAAAGGCGCAGTAGCTCTTTTTTTTTTTAGCAAAGCTGAGGATTCCCTTATTTGGCCAAAACCGAATAGGGTATGGTTTTCAGGGTAATACAAGTTTACCAATTTAAGTCTTGAACAGCGTATCTTTTCTGAGTGGAAGCGAAAGCTGGCGATGCGCGGTCTACATGCCGAGGTACCAACAATATATTTTCAAAAAAACTCTAATTTCATGATGTTAATATAAAAGCACCTCTAAATTCCTTGTGTAAAACGAAGTGAATCAGAGTTGTGAAATTAGGTCTCTTGTCTTTAACAGGGTGGCAAAATAAACAATTTTTTGTCTTAAACAGGGTTAGGGCTTGAAGGGCTCGGCGACTCCTCCCCCACCCCACCCCCCTCCCGGAGGATTTCATACGTTATGCGTGGGAGACAGCCGTTGAACTACTGTCTAAACATATCACCGTGGCAATGAATGACAACAACGTGCTAAAATATGCATCCCGATGAGGCCTTTCGAACTATTTTGCTTCAAAGACCTTCAATAAACTTTGCAGCGTTATTATTTTTTCTTAGCGGCATCAACAGGCAGCGTATTTTTGGACTCAATTCGATTGCGTGACCGAAAATTACCTTGAATGGTGAACAAAACAGGCTGATCTAAATTGTCGAAATAGCATATTGCTCTTACATTCTCTGCATTACGTCATAAAAGTTATATAGCACTACCTTATTTTACATCGCTTCGAGATTCATTCTGCCTCGGAACTTTCGCGCATGACTTTATTATGGCGCCGCCTCGCAGCCTCGTGTCTGCTCGTTGGCAATTATTTGAATAGCTGAAGAAACAAGTTGGGGTGCGTTTCTTTACAAAAAAATACCAAAACGGATTATTGATACAAATGATCTACAATGGAGGAGGATTCTTTGTATCATATCCAAAACCGCATACTTTGGATGCATGATCCGAAGCGTTTCTTTACTACGGATCCGAAAAGAGTGAATACAGTCGGCGGTAACTCGAAACAATTTTAATACATACAGCAGCTGTTTTGCAACGTAACGCTGCTCATCTCAACGGCCATTTTTCAACTCGAGGCATGAATTAAACGATTGACTTTATCCCGCGTAATTTTTATCGGGATAGTAAAATCGCAATACAAACGGGACTTGCATTGTTCTAGTTCTAAACGGCAAGTCGAGACACTTCGCCGGAGCGACGTGCATCATTTTACAATAACGTTTCACGATGTCGAGACTGTTCAGTCAGATCAATCTGCTCTATCCTGCGTAGTAGCAGGCGTTGAAAGGGGTAGGGAATAGAGAGGAAGGGGAAAAGGAGGGGGATTGGGGAGAGAGGGTAAGGGGCGCCTGGTATAAGAACCCCGCTTTTGTTCATTGCTGCGGACGCTCGCGTCCGCAAATTTCCGACTGGCTAAGCCGTGATGAGTAACTTATTGGCGTGGCAGTAAGAGAAACATGATGAAGGCATCAAGAAAATGTGTTCTACTGGCATAAGCTTTGGAAGATCAAAATTACTCCAATCATGTAGCAACTTAACGTTTAAACCCGAACTGGAACCAACTGAAATAGCTTTAAAAAATAATCCTGAAAGCCATCACGTAAGGCCATGAGAATCGCTTGAGGCTTTTCAACCCACTTACGCATCAAGCAAGGTGAAGTAGAGTAAGCTACATTTTGAAAACGATGCCATCCGAAATCGGATTTCCGATGAATTTCACAAGCGGTGTATTTGTCAACCAAAAATCCATTAAACAAACCATCCACGAATAACAGAAGAATCTTAATAGCGAGCTGCATTTAATGAATTTTGTACATCCAGTGGAAAAAGACAGTTAAAAGCATCATAAGATGACAAAAACCCTCAGCTATCTGCGTAAACAAGTTTCCAAATGCTGCAAAATATTTCCACATGAATTCACCAGTCAAATTTTGACCAATCGAACAAAAAAATTGGGAGTAGAGCATGGCCAGTGCATGACTATGGTGAGAAATGCGAAAAGCATCTGCCTTCCCTGCGTTTTAGAAGCTGACTAAATTTTCGCGTCGGAAGTCAGTTTGAAATCAAAATTTTAATTGTTCAGCTCATAAACACAACTTATTTCCTGTGCATTGAAAAAAAATCGAGTTTGAATCTGCGCATGATATTTGAAAACTAGTAACTTTTCAGTGGATAAATTCAAAAAAAAAAAGTACACTTTATGGATCAAGAAATAAGCCCTCGATAAGGTCAAGTGATACTGGTCAGCGGATACTCTGTTATGACAGCTGTCAACTGACCACGACATGGATGTGCTATATCAGGTTGCAGGCTCCCAAACTAGCTAGGAAGTGTGAGATTTAATATTGGTTTCCCTGTTCTGCAGACGGACGGATGGACACGTGACTACTAAATTTTCTCAGACAGATAGAAGCGCGCACGTCGAGCTTCCCTATTAAAACAGCCATTCTTATTGATTTTACAGAATGTAGAACAAATAATAAAATACCTCTTTATCTTCACATTTTCTTTCAGGAGGCTGGCTTCTTATTTCCAACATCACGATGGAAAGTTCAACTCCTCCCTCTCAACTGCCAATCAAGACTTCATACCGTGGAATAACCAGTGATCAGATGGTTCTCACAAAAACCGCCATGAATGAGCTGAGAACACACTTGTCTTTCACCCAACTGAGATTCCACTGCAGTAAAAACAATGGACGTACATTCCACGTGACCACTACTGCTAACAGCACTGGTGAAGCTGTAGTCCAGTACTTCAGTGGTCAGACGAATGACCAGCCCGCCTCGTGTGGCTCATACGTCAGAATGGAAAATGACAACTCAAGGTTAGCAGGTGTTTGCCAAAAGTGGGGATATGAACGCGGCCGATATAAGGTATCTAAATGGGGCCATGGATTTGATAGACAGAGATTATACGACCACCCTGCTTTTGTTTTGTATGCATATCATTGGGCGCTTAATGACGGTGGGAGATGGGAATGCGATGATATGAGTGTTGGCGTGAACGCTGGTGATTTCTGGAAAATTTACGTTCGCTAAAATTTGTCTCGACGTCTGTTTTTATATACAACTGTGTAGTCTTATTGGCTGTAGAAGTTTCAATTTTTTAAACCGCGAATTTACTCATTTACAAAAACGCACTCCTCCAAGAGGCGAGGACCATAAATAAAAGTTTTAGTATTTACCAAATCACTGAATAGCAATTTTCGCGCGTTTTGTTTCGCTCCCGTAACTCGGAGTATCCTTGGCTTTTCACTTTTGCGTCCGGAGTCAAGATGGCGTCTCGTTTCGAGACATTAATTTAAACGATAAATGAAGCAGTCGTACAAACACATACCAAGAAAGCGACGAACTCTGGCTTGTCGGTGTTTAGTAGTAGGTACAAAATTATTTTCATGCTGAATTTGCAACAAAACCGTAAAAATACACTTGACAAAATCCCCGAAATGTTTGTATATTGTATACAAAGTTTCTATTGAGTGACGTTTTTAGTTTACGAAATTTCCTTTTTCATTTTTATCCAACTGATTTGGTAAATACTGAAACAACTATCCCCCTCATGGTCGGTGAACAGCGCTAGATATATACCTCGAAGCTTCGCGTCTCGGTATATGTTTACCACTATTCACCTCCCCTTGGGGATTGTTGCCCCGCAGGATTTCGCCCAGAAGGTGAAATCCCGAGGAGGCATTCTAGTAACTTGCGGGTATAGTAAGGAAAGTACTTACAGTTGAAATATACAGTCAGACAGTCAATATAGAAAAAATCTCGATTTGCTTGAACAGGGGCAGCGAGGAATCGGTAGGTAATGATGACGTTTCTATTGTTTGCGCCCGCAAGTACGAAATGGTTAGGATGACGTAAAGACAGAACATCCCCAAGGAACTGCTTAGGTAGATTTTGTGACATTTATTGTGCAGTCATACTTTATCAGTGACATTCTGTGGAGCAGTTGTTTTAGTGAAAGTTATGGAGCAAAATTTTAACGACACTCGTTAAGGGCAGAAGAAGTTATAAGGTGCGTATAACTGTGTATATATAAGCACTTGGAGAGTTTGCCAGACACGAGTTCACAAATCTTTCGTTTAAAATAAGATTAGAATACGCGAGTGTGAATTGATCAAACGTCCTTTTAATTTCTAAGGCTTCCTTTCCGGCAAACAAAATGAACTGGATGTAAAAAGTGAAAGAGAAAAAGCGAAAAATTCAACTTCTAATTAAATCTTTTCTTATGGTTTAGAATAAATTATTCTCGAAACTGAGAATGTTTTGATCAATGTGTAAATCGACCTGAAACTGTGCATGGAACCTTGCGTTTCCTGTATTTATCTCACCTATTGTATGGAATATATGTGAAAATCTTCCTTATGAATCGGTATATTTCAAAGAGCTACACAACGAGCAAGAATGCTATTGACCGACAATATGCAGAGCGGTGGCAGCTGTAATGTCAACTAGTTAACAATTAGTTCATGCGTCAGCGTGCGTATGTCGAGATATTGAGCACGCGGGAAGTTTGGAGAGCACGAAAGAGGCGTAAGAGTTGCACGAGGCGCAGCCGAGTGCAACTCTAGCCTCTTGAGTGCTCTCCAAACTTCCCAAGTGCTCAATATCTCGACATACGCACAGCTGCAGCATGAACTAATTGTTTTATAACATTATCAAAGCGATCAATGCAGCAGTTAACTGAAAATTTTATTATTGAAGGGCGCGCTCAAAGCAGTACGCGTCAATGTTTACGTGAATATATCTTTTTTCCTCACAGTTAATCTTATGTTTTTATCCTGAAACTGAGAGAAAGTGTACTCTAAAATGATTGTAAAATCCATATTTAGGTGTCGGAAAACTATTAATTTCCCGAAAAATTGTTATTGAGAGAAAACAACTTTGCAAAGAATGAGCTCACGCCATAGCCCGCACAGCTCGCGGAGATGACAACAACAACAACAACACTCACCTCTTTTCCTTACTATCGGTTAACAAATTCAAACGTTTCCTCTTAAATTTCTTTACAAAACACATGGTAAACGCTTCATTGTCTATTGCTGAGTTATGGATTCACTCAGGAGACTCAGGATTGCTAAGCTCACAACAACTCGAGGAATTACGAATAGTTTATTGACGTCATCAGCGTGCTCAATAGGAATATGAAGCACGCTCGCGCTATTGAATTTGATTAGGCGAATTTTCTAGCTATGTTATAATACTAGTTGTATAATAAATAGGCCATTCCAGAATGACGTCTTCAGTGTTAGAACTTTTGTGTTTTAAACCTCGCTGGAATTACAAAATTTAAACATGAAAGGAAAAACGAAATTGCTCCTGGGGGTAAAAGTACTTGTAGTAGAATGACGCAATCGTGCAAATGGTCGATTGCTGACTTGGATGTAAATACCTTGATTTAATATCAACCGATTTATATAATATGAATAAGTTATATCTGTTAGGAGAGATTGTTCTTATACTTTTTGGTTTGCAGTAAGCCTTAAGTCCGTTTTTGTTCATTGTATTTTTTCCAAGTATCCGCTTTAAATAAAGCCGCTCATGCCATTTAATCATTGTCTTACTGTTAGCTCGTCTGAACATCAAAGTTTGCCGGATCGACAAACAGGTTCTTCTAGTCCGCTTCAGACGGATAGGAAGTGTACAGTTCTTCTCGGGACAAAAATACAGATATCAAGGGGACATGCGAATAAAGTGTTTGTATTATCTGGGTTTCCGTAAAATACTGTTTATTCACTACAAATTAATATATTGAGCTGTTTGTCGGAACAAAGAGAAGTGTGTGTTATAAACGGGTTTCTACAAAGCAGGCCTCCACCGATGACTATGACATTTTTTCGCGTCCTTTATTACTTTTGAACTTAATTCGATGCTTAGCCAAGTTCGACGTCAGCGACCCGCTAGTCTAACTTAACTGAAGTAAGGTCGACTCAAGTACCAACCGAGCGATTTCTTAGTGTTCCGAGCCAATAACAATTACAGCAAGGAGCCCAAAAGTGTGATCGCTTTTGATTTATTTACATTATTTCGTGCAGATTTAATCCAATCAGAAGCCAGCTAGAAACTGTTCTCGAGTTGTGATTGGTTAATGACTGCATGAAAGAATGTGAGTTGATGAAAGGAGGTCACACGTTTGGGTTCCTTGCTGTAACATCCAAAATAGGCAACGTATTCGGTCTTTCTTTCCCTTTAACTCGGTTAGGACAGCTTTTTCCAAAATCTTGTCCGTGCTCTTTGTGCCCGTACGGAGCCTGAGCCTGATAGTTGCCATCAATCTTTTTAGTGCAACTTTTTTCGAGATTGTTTTCGCGACTTTTGAAATTATCTTATTGCACTTAAAAAATTATCTTATTGCAAACCCCGTCCCGCCCTATTCCTTCCCCGAACCTAACCTGATAACAAGCCAACAAACCATCAGGAGGGCATTTTGCATGCGCATGCATGCAACCGATGAACGACAATAGCGTGGGCGCATCAAATCTGAAGGCGGGAAAATGAAAACTCGCGCAAAGTTACAGTCCTCTTAAAAGCCAGTTCGTTCGTGCTTTAAATACTGTACTTTCCTACAAAAAATGTTCTCCATGACAAAAATCGGACGTTTTCTGAGCAGGTTTTCAATTGTAAAGTTTTCAGCCGTAGATAGGACTCAACACCAAAAATTACTGTTCCTGTATACATACCATAAAATTCCAAAAATAAGCCCCTCCATGTATAAGCCCCCAAACTCGTAACGCAAAAACCCTCCGTTAAATCGCCCCTCCGAATATAAGCCCCCGAAATTGTACTTGAAATTTGTCCTCGAATACAAAGTAAAACAAAGCAAAATGGTAAATTTCCTTCCCACTACAAGCTAGCTCAATCGATTTTGAAACGCAAATTTCCCTCCGAATATAAGCCACTCCGAAAATCAGCCCCTCAAAAAGGGCCTTTGAAAAATATTAGACTACGAGTAGTCCCTCATTTTTCCTCAGGGATAGTAGAGCGGGCGAAACGCGAGCGCGCGTGAAAATCACCCCACGAGAGAAAAGGCGACACGCGGGAAGGGGATACGAACTTCACACGCCAAAATCAGTCGGCCGTGAAGGGTCAAAAGCTTGGGCTTTGTCTGTAGTCCCTCATTTTTCTCTCCCCGCCGCGTGTCGCCTTTTCTCGCGTGGGTGATTTCACGCGCGCTCACGTTTCCCACGCTCTACTATCCCTGAGGAAAAAATGGGGACTACTCGTAGTCTAGAAAATATAAGCCCCGGGGTTTATTTTCGGAATTTTACGGTATGATATTTTCAAGGCAATGAATTTCTATGGTTTGATTTCTAACTCATGGTCTTATTCATCAACAGAAAAGGGTGTCGTATCAATGTTGCACTTCTATAAGAAGAGCGAGAAAATGTTTTACTACACGAGGTTTATTCATTTAATAGAGCGTTCTTTAATTGATCGATGAAATACGCGTTAATATAAATATGGCACAAAAACACGAAATCTATGCTTTATTTACAGTCCCCGGAAAAGTATAAAAATAGGCAGTCTATGACTACATGTGGCTTACTGTATACCTTCACCCCAATAAGGGACGACGTCTGACATTTGCAGACTTCACACGGCATTAGTTTAAGCAAAATGGAATTAACCCCAAGGAAACCAGAGTAGAACAAATGGCAAGAAAACTGTGGGTATGCAGTCTGCAAGTGTAACATAGTTATACAGGGGTATATGTCCCGCTAATGTTTAATAAGTACCAGTCCAACAGAGGTCAGAAAATAACAAAGAGTTGGGCTTGACGGGACGTAATAGTTTTTATTTGAGATGCTTGCTGAAGGTTTGTATTATGTGTAAATCATCCATGAATTTTAAGGGCCAAATAACTATTATAATTATTTCAAGTAACACTGTTAAGAAGACAGGGCAATAGCGCTAAAAGGAAACGAAGCTAAAAATTACTAACACGGCTAAACAATACAACGTGGACAGTAAAACGACATTACAATGTAAAAAAGTAAACAAACACGCTAAGGAACATGCTAGGTCACGAAAGAAGAACAAGCGTGACAAATACGAAACAAGAGACGAAAACATAACAAACGCTACAGTAAACGTAGCCTGCGTGGCAGGCGTTCGAAAGGGAAGTAGAAGGGAATTAGGGTGCGAGACCACGCGCGAGGGAGGAGGGAGGAGGGGAACGCCTGCAAGGAAGCCATTGTTTTCGCCATCCCGCCTACTAATTAAAAAATAACAAAAATAACGCAACTGTGAAAGACTAGCTGTCAAATAGAAGATAACAAGCACAGAGGCAGCATGATTTTTCCTTTCTTTCTTCTGGCGAGTAGAACCGACAAGCCGTTGAGAGATGATACTTTTCAGAACCAGTCAGTAAAACTCATCTGCTGACAGGCGTTTTCCTTCATACGGTTTTTTAACTCCTTTTTTCTATTATCTTTTTAAGCTGAAATAGATGCCTTCTAACAATGAATTCCCGTAGAGAAATCTCATCACGCTTCACTAACGACATATGTTTAGTTACTCAAATGGCGTGATGTTAAAAAAAAAAAGAATAAAATGTCAATCTTCGACTTAATACCTTTTTCCGATTAATTAATTAAAATTAATTCTGACCAATCACTATTTTGGAGAAAAAAATGGCGTCCTTGCAGGCGTTCTTTTCCTTTCTCCCTCGCGCGCCAAGTTCCCGCTTCCCCTTCTCCTTTTAACGCCTGCCACGCAGGCTACAGTAAACGAGGGTCAAACTGAGGTTGTGATCTGCGATCTAACAACGGCTTCGTTACGTTCGGACGAATTATATATCTTTTTGACTTTTTGTTGAATTAAAATAGTAGCTATAGATAGTATCTTCTAACCAGAGTTTAATATGATTTGCATCAATACTAAGTAAAACAGATGAAGGTGGAATTGTTTTTAAAGCATTTTCTTACGCTTCTGTCTTAGATTATTCCCTCCCCGAAGGCAATCTTGGCTTCCCTGAAAGAGATTATTCGCTTCCCAAAGGACTTGACTCTTGAAAAGGTTTTGAGATCGCCACAGAGATGTTCAACTGCACTAAACACTCGATCGCGCTTCGATGGAGTCAAACATTCTCTGGAAAATTGGAAACTGACTTCTCTGCTAACAAGTTCTCCATAAATGAGAAGATAACTGCGCTTGATTCTTTCACCTAAATGGTTTAAACTTATTACGGATGAAGAGACTCCTGGCGACGGTGACAAATTTGAGAGCACATAGCAAATCGAAAATTTCTCGTGTGATCACGTGCTAATTCCGAGTAATAGTTGAGGCCATTCGAAGCTATCCTCGACAAACGTTGAACAACCGACGATGTTCCGAAACAAAAAGGGGCTAAGATCGGGGAATATCGGATCGAAATCGGTAGAGTTCGTCAGTGGGCTCGGGTTGTTTTGTTATACTCAATCACTCAACGCGATATAATAAGTGGCTGACAGCCTCTAAGAGGCAGAAAGCCACAAAAATTCGATAGGAAAAGAAGAATGAATTCAGTCTAAAATGACAACATTTTTAAGTGATCATGTGCTACGTATTTTGATTATTTCATAAGCTCTCTTTCAGACAATACAAATGGACGTCGAAAAAACGAACAACTTCTTTTTCTTACTTAAGTTTCAGTTATTTCATGCTAGGGGTGAGCTCGGTTTGCTGGGAGAACTGAACGGACACCCTTATTTGTCGTAATTTGGCCACTCAGTTAAGTGGCCGTTTATTGATAATACCAAATCAAATTACACAAAAACCGTAAATAAAAACCTCATCCCAGCAAAGGTGAGGGCAAACACGCACCGAATGAGAACTTATCGCACCGATGGGACTGATCCGAAACCATGGGCGGGGTAATAGGGTGGGAAAATGTTTGCCCTGCACCGAAGCTGAACTGAAAGAGGCCTGAAATCACATGTTCGAATGTTTAAGTATCTACCATTGTAAGTCCCGGATGTACCCATCCGGGATACTAAACACGCCGCGCAGGCTACATAAAATAATTTATTCCCCTTGGTAATAAATGTCATTTCCTGAACTTTAAAAGATACAGAGATTTTCCCTCACCGACTATTTTGACCCTTGAATAAAAGCTGTTGTGTTCAACAATCGATTTCTTATTGTTGCGTTTGAGGTACGAGAACGCAACCCCTAATTTGTGTTGGGTGTTCTGTGCATTATTGGGTGTCCTGTGCAATTAATAAGGGAGCCTTTTATGAGATTGCACTTTCGTCGTCGACACACATTTGCCTCTCTTTGAAGCGCTTGCTTACGTTTTGCTTCACTTTGACGCGCTAACTTATGTGGTGATTCTTGTGTCTGTGGCGTTCATCTTTCAAAGGTTTGCCGAGGTCTGATATTCTGTCTTCGTAAAGCGTTTATCTTTTAAAAAGTTTGCTGAATCTTCGTAAAGCGTACATCGATCTGTGTTTGCTGAATCGTCCAAAGCGTTCGTCTTTCAGAAGTTTGCTGTTAAATTTTACTTTGGATTAAGCCTTCATATTTTTCAGCATGGTTCGTCACTCCTGGTCCATGCATCAAACCGGGTTTAGTTCAGCGGCCGTTGTGCCACAAAGTAAATTTACCGAGTTGTGTAGCTCGGCAGCCGTTGTGCCACAAAGTAAATCTACCGAGGTGTGAAGCTTGGCGGCGCCATTTGATCATGACTTGTGACATTTTCGGCACCGGACAAACGAACACTTTAACTCTATGTTAGGAAAAATCTCTGTATCTTTTAGAGTTAAAGAAAAATAAAAGTACTGTTCGTTTTTTTCGGAGTATGTGCATTCGTTTTGTTTGCAACTGAGCTTATGAAATGCTCAAGTGATCATGTACTTGTAATTGTTGCTTCAAACTCAATCCATTATACACTTCCTATAGGAGAATATTTTTTATAAATTTTTCCGCGAAAACTTTCAAAAAACTGTTAAAACCCCATAGATTTCAAGTTTTGTGGCATATATAAACGCGTGTCTCCGCGATCAGTTTAACATGAGACATCGCGCTAATAAATAAACCTCGCGTGGTAAATTTTTTTTTGTATTTTGTCTTAAAGCAGCTGAACATTGCTACGATGAATTTCCTCCCTAAATAAAACCACGAGTTTGGAAATCAAACCATAGAAATGCATTGCTTTGCTAGTGAAAATCAGACTTATACAGGACCATGACTTTTGTCGTTGAGTCTTGTCTTTAAAGGCCAAGAAAACCTACTGCTGAAAACTCTACAAGTGAAAACGCGCGTAGAAAACGTCCGATTTTTGTCATGGAGAATATTTTTTGTAGGAAAGTACGGTATTCAAAGCACCAACGAAATGGCTTTTAAAAGGACTGTAACTTTACGCGCGAGTTTTCGATTTCCCGCCACCAGATTTGATGCGCCTACGCTATTGTCGTTCAGCGGATTCACGCATGCGCATCCAAAATGCTCTCCTGTTGGTCGTAACATGGTACATCCGGGACCCATTGATCCCTATTTTCTTGCCATTATTTTGATCCCTGGGCCCCATTTTCCCCCAAATTTTGATCCCTGAGCCCTGATAAGAAAAATTCACCCCATCCATGTTTTACACAAAATTTTAACTTAGACAACTTTGTTTATCTCCAGATATAGAATATAGAACACTAAAATGCTTAAATGGGCTGATGAGAAAAAAATTAACTTTAATTTTTAGTGCAAGTTGTAGGTTCTATCAGAGCTTTAAAGATAAATATGAGTTAACTTTGTTTTGTGCATTATTCTATTTAAAACTCTTTAAACAGAATGTTTGGCGATACTAGACAAATGATAAAACCTGATTTTCTTGAACGGGAGCTTTAGTAAGATACAGAATGTAAGTTTTTGTTAATTTATACATTAACAGTAGTCTACTTCACTTTAAGTATCGTACATCTTGAAAGATCTTGCGGCGGAAACTTGATTTTTTCGGATGCAACGTTCATCAAGAGTGTTTACAAGGTTTATTTTCAGTGTTGCTCATACGAGCTAGGCCACCCGGAGGTTTATAAGCCAATCACAAGAAAGCATTGGATTCAAAATTCGAATAAATAAATTTTTTAGTCAAACAGCAAACACAGCTAGCGCTGGTTGGTCCCCAGTTGAATTAACGGCACTGTAAGGTACTTCTGAACTAAGGTCTTCCTCTAGCTTTCCAATTCCTGTCCCCTACGAATATCTGCTTGCCCGGATAACTTGTTCAGTTAATCAATGTCCTATCTGTGTGGGTCACAGATGTTTTATTTCCAAATAGACTCTTGCAACCAAACATTTTACGTCGGCCGTGAAACTGGTCTACAATATTGATATTGATAAAGTGTAATCGTTTGTCTCTCCCTTGAACCTCTTTCAGGAGATCGACTTCTCCATGTGCTGACGCATTCCGTCTGAACATACTCAGAGCAAGTGCAAGTGTATCAGTTCTTTCTTTGGTCTTCCCTCTCGTTCGTTGCTGTCGTACAGCCCGTCCGAATTCTTTCGCAAAGCTCTGCAATGCCTTCCTTTTGTTTCGCTCCTTTCCCTCCGCGCTCGTTTCCTCGTCCATATCCCCTTAGGTTTACTCTTGCCGTGCGACTTTCGAAGCCATTTCGGTACCTTCGGACCCAGCTTTCTCTGTGTGTAATGGCTTTGAGGGCCGGTATAAAAGATATTCGAGGATTGGTGGTAGGTGAACCGATCTCGGTTTCTCATCAGAGTTAGGGGACGGACCATTAGAAAAGTTGTGGGGGGAGGGGTGAGAGGGAATTTTCGAGCCGCAGGAATTTCTTTTCGTTATCAAATTCCTTGTATGAATTTTTTTTTTTAGCCATAGCATGAATATTTTTAGGATTAATTGGCGTGCATGAATTTTTGTCATTTAATTTTCCTTTGCGCGAATATTTTTTTTGTACTTCGCCCGCACCCCCGCCATAAGTTTTCTAAGGGTCCGTCCCTACATTGCGAAAAAGCATTTTTTTTTGCAACAAAGCACGCGAATTTATTGTACTTGTATTCTACTTTTGACGTCCTTTCTAATTATTTAAGTACTTTTAAGGGTTAAGTTACTGGTCAAAAAATACAAACCTCGGTTTATAGTCCCCTTGTGACTTGCTTGAGGCGATGAGGCTGTACATTTATTTTGAATTCAGACATAATTTAAGCAGTCGCCGAAGAGAAAGGAAGTTCCAGAACTGATCAATATCACTTACAATCAGAGACTGGAAATCTTTACCAAGTTGTCTCACTTGAAAAGCAGTCAGTGGAGGCTTTCAAAACGGCCGTCGTGAGCCATCTTAAAAACGCTAACCCGGGAACTTTTTATTCTTTATTCACTTGACATTAGCACCTTGATTATATCTTAACACAAGCACCTGTGCAATTACACATCCGCCGTGATGGGAAATTCCCTTTGCAGATAATACGATAAGAATTAGAATTAGAATAACGGAAGGGCTACCTGCCAAATTTCATGCTATTAACAGAAAGTGAACAATTGAAGCACATATCTGCTCCGCTTTGTCAAAAATAGTATTTAAGAGGGTAAGGGGTTAGACCTTGGGGCGGTACCTCCTTGTAATATATAGATTTAGCCACGCCTAAAAGCGGAGCTCCCGATTTCATTACAATAATAATAACGATAATAATGATGATGATGAAGATCGTTTTATTCACACTGGTACACAATACGATATAACCTCGTTGCAAATACTGATACTTCCCAGTCGGTATCGGGATGTAATCTAGCCTACGTGTAGCCGCAACCCACTCCCGACAAAGGAAGAAGAGGAGTCAAAGAAAACTACGAAAAAAGTACAACGTAGTTAGATAAGGTTTAAAGAGCAGGAAAGAAAAAGGTCTTAAAAGTTGAAACTAAAACTAAAACTCTATAACTTTAAAACAGCACAAGAAAAGATTAACTTATCCAAGGTGAATTCACACAACAAAGTTATATATGGTATAATAAATACATTAATTTCATATACTGGAAATGCAGAATGAAGAAATAAATTCAGGGAAGATCACCACAGTTATCAATGCAACTTTGGCACTGTACCTAACGTACCTAACCATTCATACAGTCATTCTCCAATTTCCACAGCAGCTGGTCAATTAGCCTGGCAATTCCTCAGAGATTGTGGTGGGAAACAGTTAGATGTCATGTGACCTCGAAGTAACTAACGAGAATGGTGCTGGGAAATATTTAGATTCTTGGAAAACAAAATTAACTGTTTCCCATGGGCCAAGTCTTTAAGTGATTTGTGATGTTAATATTTTAAAAAATTTATAGCTGCATGGAATTTCATTAAACCTCCCTGGAATGTAAGTTGTTGGTCATTCACGGGTAATAGTGCACTGTTACCCTCTGATGTGAATGATTTTTGCGATGTTGCCTGCTTAGAGAATATTGGCACCAAAAGTTTCTTTGTTAGATGTCAGGTGACATTGAAATAACCAATGAGTGTGCACATGGTTGGAAAGAAATTTCCACCTATAATAACAATGTTTCTTAATATATCATTGTTGTTGGAGAGAAAAAGGAATGGACTGGATTCAAGTAAATAAAATCTTTTCTTCTGTCATCCTCCGTTTCCACTTCACCAGGCTTTGGAAACTCATAGTCCACACCAACTGCCCTTGCTCTAGCAATTAGGCGGTCATCTTCTAAGTGGCTACTATTATTTACTTCTGGAAGAGGTTGCTGTGTTTCCTGCACGTTGCTTGCTCCCTCAATTGGGCCATTTTCTACAGCAGGAGTGTGTTGTTCCAACTCTTCTCCTAGTAAATGAATTATTTGTATTAACCAACTACACAATTCATATAAGCTATGGGGCTAGTGGATTCTATTTTTTATCTTGCCTGAGGGATAATAGAGTTGCGATTCTTGGGCTAACAGATGCAAGCTACAGCCTTCCCGAAGGACAAGCACAAAACTGACCTCCTTTTCTTCGCACCCTAGTACTGCATGCTTGTATAACTGTACAAGAATTACTATTATAAAGCTGTATCTGTGGAAGTGTTCTCAAAACCTGATTTCAAATACAAAATACACAATATTTCTACTTTTGAAACTTCGGATAATACAACAACCTTGACAATCATTTTCTAAGTGCTGATATTTCATAAACCAGTCATCAAATATAATGGGAGTGACCCAACCAATGAACTCATTATTATGATCCAAAAATTATTATCTCTATGAGAATTCAATGTATTTTAACTTTGTCCTAGTCAAAGTAATGCAACCCTAAGGTAAGTTTTCCCATAATAATAATGCACGATCAAATACAAACAGAACAAAAATCCTACAATCCAGTCATGGATAATTAAGTGCAGACATGATGACTTGTCATGTTTACCACAACAAGAACACGACAAAAGGTCTAATCAATGAATTATACAGCGTTTTTGTTTCAAATAAATATGATGAATTCTGGGACTCATCTTGTGAAAAATCATGAGTCCCTGTCCAAAACCAATGAGTCCTCATTAAAAAAAAAAAAATGAGTCCAAAATTGTAAAATGCTTGGGCCTTTATGTAACCAGACAGTTAATCTGAAGACAGACTCCAAAACTCTGTTTTTTCAGTGTACTGAAATTAAAGTATAGTTCTTCTATTTTAAAGCAGAAGTCAACAAAGGCTAAAACAAATATGCATCACTAAACAACAACCATAACTGCCACAGAAATTACACGTACGGGATATTTCTACAAATACACACGTTCAGATCGATATATCCATGAATTATTTTATGTCTTTGGCGATTTTTTATGTGTCAGGAACATAGATAGAATGCAGAGGTAACAAAATCACTGATTATATAGCTGCTCTTTTGAGTCCATGTAAAAATATATATATATGAAAGTTTTAACATTCTTATTTGTTACACACACACGCCCACCCACACCTTTATTAATTTCAAAATCTTGGGTACAAAAATGGAAAAAAAAAAAACTCACAATGAATAAATAAATAAAAATAATCAGGTAAATTCATAAAATAAAACATTGACAAAAAAAAAGTGTTACAAGAAAAGGAAAGATTACTTAGGTAAGACAACAGAGCATAATTAATTACACCAAAAAGGGGGAAGTTTTAAAAGTATACATGCTTCCCACCAGCAAATTGTGGCACTTAATTAGTTCTGATAAATTTCTATTGTTTATTAGCCCAATCACAGTTTTTCATTCTCTGATAAAATTGCATTATATTTCTTTCTTTTTGCATTATGTTTCCTTGTTTTTGCATTGTGTTTACTAAAAAGTACACTGCTCTAAGCCAATCAAATTCACAGAGAAATTTTTTTCATGTATATTATTAACTTTCATAATAAAATACCATCTACCATAAACAACTAACGGTATATCAGTACCTGCTGAATGATTTTGCTCTTGTTCACCTGGCAGAGAGCTTTCCATGCTACATTCAAGTTGGAGGACTTCACTTTCATGTTCTTCTATGGCTAAGAAGATAAGATATAATCTTAATAAGTTGGGCAAGCAGATTGTGACACCTGAGGCTGATTGGTTCTTATATATTTCTATTGTTCAGTGTTATCCAGAAGTTTTAGAGTAGCCAGCTCCCAAAGCAAAGAAACTGGTGCCTGACACCAAGCACTGATAAAGCGAGAGTACTGTATCTAAGGGAGGGGTTTGGGGACATTAAGCCCAGAGATCTGAGAAGTTTTGCTCATGATTTATAAGCTTTTCCAGAGTTCTCCCAAGAACCAAGTAAGTTATCATGCTGGTAAATCCATAGAAAATGTGGTCTTTTACTTTTATAAAATAACTTTAAAGCATGTTTCAGTTTACTATGAGATTACCAGCACAATAAACTATTGGTTTTTAACCAATCAGAATGCATGTACTGTCTTAGTTATTTTATAATTAAAAATATTATCTGGCAATGTCTCATCAAAAATCATTCAGTAAATATATCGATAATACCATTAGCAAAAGGCAAATTGTCATACACCAAAGAGCTTTTTGTACGACAAGTTATTGTTTGTTTCTTTTAGGACCTTCTGAAAAATTCAAGATAAAAGGTACAGACAGGTTTTTTTACTGTTTTGAGTCATAAGAGTAGCCAGCGAAACCACCAGTCGCCTGCGCTTCTGGAGAACACTGATTGTTCACTGCTCTAAGCCAATCTCATTCAAGAACTTTTTCCATGTATATTATTAAGTTTTATAATAAATACCATCTACCATGAACTATATCTGTACCTGCTGATTGACTTTGCTCTTGTTCACCAAGCAGAGAGCATTCCATGCTACATTCAACCTGGAGGACCTGACTTTCATGTTCTTCCATGGCTAAGGAGATAAGCAAGCAGATTGTGACACCTGAGGCTCATTGGTTCTTATATATTTCTATTGTTCAATGTTCTCCAGAAGTGTTAGAGTAGCCAGCTCCCAATGTAAAGTAACTGGTGCCTGACACCAAGTGCTGGTAAAGCGAGAGTACCGTATCTAAGGGGGTTTGGGGCATGAGGCCCAGAGATCTGAGATGTTAAGCTGGTGGTTTTACAAGCTTTTCCAGTCTTCTCCCAACATCCCAAGTGGGTTATTACACCAGCAAACCCTTAGAAAATGTGGTCTTTTACTTTTATAAAATAACTTTAAAGCATGTTTCAGTTTTCTATGATTTTACCGGCACAATAAACTATTGGTTTTAACCAATCAGAATGCACGTACTATCTTAGTTATTTTATAATTAACAATTATTCCACGAGGGCACATTGGATATGAGATGGTAAATAGCCAACGAGGCGCATAGCGCCGAGTTGGCAATTATAATCATCTCATCCAACAAGCGCAAGTGGAATAATAATTATTTTATTAAAAAACGCCCACAAAATCCCTTTGAATCTTGTTAGAACAAACCAGAAAAGACAAGGGAGTTCCGCTATTCACATGTCACATGTCTATCAGAACTGTCAACGCGTGAACCGACTCGCCTGGACTGGATGAATGAAAAATCAAAACATTGTAGAGATGAACACTTTTAAAAACTCATCGAGATTCTAGGATTTTACACAGTGGGACAGCTAAAAAACCTGGCAGATAATGTGAAGAAAAATAATTCTTAACAGCCATCAAAATTACTGTGAATTTGGATTTTGGAGCAGTTACAAAAGTAAGAACAACGGAGATAAACTATTACCTTGGTCGCTTGTTATGAAGTTGTTTGAAGCCACAAGCTGGTTTTGCTGAACAAGAAAAGAAGCTTTACTGACGCCTCGATTGCTGTAGTGAATGGCTGCATAGCCTGTATTCTGGTTGCTTGTGATTTATATTCTTCATGTCGGATAAACAAGCCGCAGCTATCTATCGGCAAGTGCCTCAGCGAGTGGCTTTGCAACCATGAATAAACAACACCTGTCTTCTTTTGTAGCTGTTCAAGGCACTTTAGTTCCATGTATTTTCATGTGTTTTTCGATAAACGTTCAAACAAGCTCTTGTGGCTTTTTTGTTTGTTTGTTATTTTCCCGATGAAATTGCATGTTTTTAGTATTCTAAGAAATGAACACGATTTGCTTGGGCGCCGTTTTATCCTTCAAGGAAAAAAAATGGAACTTACAAAAATTCAAGATAAAAGTTACAGACAGTTTTTTTTTTATGTTTTGACTCATAAGAGTAGCTGGCACTTTGGAAAAGAGTTCCCAGTGAAACTGCCAGTTGCCAGCGCTGCTGAAGAACACTGATTGTTTATTAGCCAATCACAGGTTTTCATTCTCTGAGAAATTTGCACTTTATTTCCTTATTTGTGCCTTATGTTTCCTTGTTTTTTGTACTGTGTTTACTAAAAACTGCACTGCTCTAAGCCAATCTGATTCAAGAAATTTTTCCATGTATATTATTAAGTTTTATAGGAAAATTCATTACCTGACGAGGGAATTCCATGTTAAATTGCACAAAACCGATATTGGTTTTCAAGTGCAATTTAACGTGGAATTCATGAGTCAGGTAATGGATTTTCCTTGAATCGCATAATCGAATAAAAATCAGAAAAAAAAAAAAACACACCAATAATACTGTTTGTTTTTATCCTGAGCGCCGCCCCAGAAAGCCATTTCAAAGTCAAATGTCAAACCTGTCATTGCGTTAGCGAATAGGAAGCAAGGTCAGTCATACATGTTTGAACCTTTGACAACTTTTTTTGTACCTTGTGCTTGTTTTTACATTTGTTTTCAAACTTTTTACACATGAACAAGCTTCACACTAATTGTAAGGATAAATAGAGGCATTTCATTGAATTTACAAGCCGTTATCTATAGCATCCTTTTTCAAATTGGTCATTTGCTCGCGAAGGAAAATAATTTACACCTTTTACCTCTTCGGTAGCAAAACTGAAAGAAATGAAGTGTCCAAGGCAAAGCACTGATTTTAACGTTGCGATTGATATAAGGTAAGTACCTTGAAACGTTTTAAAAATGCTGTTCAAGTTCAGCTCTGTTTTGTACTTTTCTAAGTACCATGATTCAGGATGAATGCAAGTGGCATACTCTTTTTCGTGTTTTCAGGGACCATGTGATCTTTGAAGGTATTTATTTCTTCTTCTGTATATGTGACAATTGACCCTGGCACTTCCTCCATTGTCGCTTCTCCGTTTTGTTTGTTTGAATTTGGCTTGCCATTTTCTGGGCTGTGTTCACAGGATTTTCTTGTTTTCTCATTGTCGCTGGCAAAAGGGGTTTTTTATACCTCTCCAAGAATTTGTAGTTTAGTTCAAAACAAGAAAGAACCT